ACAATATTATCAACAACGTTGCCCTACTTACCAAGAAATCAAAGTAAATGCACAAGACCACAAGCGACGCAGTAGAACATTTTCGAAATGATCCCGATGACATCAGACAGACCGCCAACAATTAATCACTAGTAATCGATCGAACTGTACTAAATAAAGAACCTTCCATCCACCAAAAGACGCAATAAAATGCTGCTTGTTCGTTTCTGTTTGATTCATGCAAAAAAAGAACCGCTGGGACGTTACAATGGAGAATGGCACGACTGGTTCAAAAATTATATTTTCGCGTGGTTACACGGGACAGGTGGGGCTATCTAGCGGGGCGCAGTTGAAACAAAAACGTCTGCAATCTTGAAGCCAATGGCGGGAAATTAATCAATGACCGTTGTTGCTGCTGTGGCTCCCGCTACTTGCGATCTGCTGCTACTAGCGCATTAAAACCGGGCAACGCTGTGCGCGGGAACAGTGACGTAAGCCGGTCCGGTCGGTCCACTTCTAGAGGCGGGTAATTTGCAGTACACTAACCAGATGCTGACCACTAAAACGTGATTTTATTTCAAAATAGGCCCTTCCTTGGCACAAAAGTAACACTACGACGTTTCTGGACCGCCATTTAAACAATAAACGTCAACTTAAAGTTGCCTTTAGTGTCCCTTTAAATAGTGGAGCTAAGGACTAGTACTTTGCAGGTGAAGGATTTAATTTTCATTCGTGCCTTGATTGCAGCCCAGATGACCTCCTTCTAGTTATTTCTCCCTAAATTCCAGTGCTTCGAAAAAAATCACAGCATATCTACGGAGTTAATGATGATGAGTGGGGCGAAGCGTCCATCAGTCCCTGCGCCCTTCCATTCGTTCTTGCATTCGTCCAGTCTGTCCATGCGCCCATCCATCTGTAGTCCCTGTACGTCCGGCTGTGGTCCGTACATCCATCCGCGTGTCCGTCCATCTAGTACCGCCATCTCGCATCTTTTCCCTCTCCTTCCCCTGTGGCATATACCCACTCTTCTCTCGGGTATATGCCACTGGCGGTTATGCACAACGACAACAGGGGATGCACAAGCCACGCCATAAGGAGCTTCGCCCCTATAACTCTGCGCCATCATCCTGAACTAAAGTGTCAAGAACATTATAAAAACATTACAGAACATTATAAGAGCATTTACGGAGCATTATAAAGTGTTCGGCAGTTTCCTCCCCCTCTCCACACGCACTGCATATAGTGTCTACCCGTTCGTATTTGTCCCGATAAGTCTTGGTACGCAATATTCCCGTCCTCACCTCAAACAGTAGAGAACTACCCCGAGAGTTATAGATCCCTTTCTTGGCAATTTCCTGCTTAAAAGCTGAATAGATCTCTAGTGCAGTCTTCTTAATCAAGCCTATTCTTCACATGTCGTTCTCTGCTTCCTTCACCTTCTTCTTAACCGATAGTTCTTTTTGGTTTGGTCCCCTGCTATTTTCCAAGTATTCACCCGTCAATTTTCTGGTTTGCTCCCTCCATTTTGTATCGAGAGTCCTCATGTACAAATAGCTGAAAACCTTCTTAGCCCTATGCTCCTTCCCATTTCTCTCAATTGCTTCTCAAATTTTATCTTGCTGCTAGCTTCCCTGACCTCGAATAATGTTCATCCCATGCCACCTTGTACACCCTGATTTGGTGTATTCCTGTGAGCTCCAAAAGCAAGCCTTTCTACTCCACGTTGCTTAGTTTCTAATCTTGCTTGAACCTCTGATCTCGTGAACAAGACCGCACTGCCAAACGTCAGACCCAGCACCATGACCCCTCTCTAAATTCCTCTCACAACATCAATCTATTGCAATCATATCCACAGTATGCCCTATTTTTCATCACCGCTGCATTCCTGTTACCTTTATTCGTTATGTGTATTTCGTGTTCCCTTAGGTACTCGGTCCCATTGCTTATACATACACCCAGATATTTGTATTTATTCGTTATCTCTAACAGTGACCTCCTGTATCTTAAGCTCACTACCATCATTATCATTGAAAATCATGACTGCTGATTTTTCCTCACCGAATCTGATATCTAACCTATCTCGCTCATTACCGCAGATGTCTACCAATCCCTGTAAATCTACCTTGTTGTTGGCCATTAGCACTATATCATCTGCATACATCAATGCTTGTAGTGCCTGTTTAATGAGTTTTCCTTGTTTGACGAAAGAGAGGCTGAAGCCAAGTCCACTCCCCTCTATTTTGGCCTTTCATCTTTGTAGGTACATCATAAATAACGACGGGGACAGGGGACACTCCTGCCTAAACCCCAGTTTTATCCCTGTGGGCTCGGATACCTGTTATTCTCATTTTATAACCACCTTGTTACTTTTATAGATATCCTTTGAAAGATTAGTGACTACATCTTTCACACCTAGTGTTCTCTTGAATCACGCTATCATACACTCCCCTGACATCCAGAAATGCTAGCCTTAGAGGCATCTGTTCCTTTACTGCTACTTTGATGCACTGAGTCAGTGAGAACAAATTGTCTTCCAATCTCCTTTGTTTCCGAAACCCATTCTGCAGCTCCCTCAGCACCCCCTCATCCTCTATCCATGCCTGCAGTCTTTCCTTTATATCTTCATCACTAGCATGTAGACCACCGATGTCACTGGACGGTAGTTGTTTATGTCAGCTTTGTCCCCCTTTTCTTTATAGATCATGCTCATCCTGCTCATTTTCCACCCACAAGTGACTTTACCATCGATTATTGTTTAGCTCGTTGCCTCTCTCAAAGTTTGTTTGTATAATTGGAATGCCATCTGGGCCTGTTGATGTACTACTAGGAACCCTCTTCTCAGCCTTTTCCCACTCTAGTTGTGAAAATAAAGCCACTGCACCACTTGATCAATCGTTGTCTATTAAGGTGCATACGGGACTTCTTTGTTGAAAATTTTCTGTCATATCCTTGTTCTTATATATTCAATGGCTTCGTCCCCTTCTAGCCTAACCCCTTGAGCTGTACTTATAAACCGGTGCTCTAGGCTTGTCTCATTACTAAGGGAGTGTAGATATATGGTTCCAAAATTTTGTAGTTGCCTTTCTATCCTGTTTATGTACTTCTGCCCGCCACTGAGCCCCCTTTCTTCTAATCTTTTCATTGATCAGAAGGGATGCTTGCCTTCTACAGCTTAGAAAGTTGTGCCATTTTCTTTCAACATCATCTGTCGGTTCACTCGGCCCCGCTGCTTAGCATATTTGTGTTCCCTAGAAGCTTCCTGATGTTTTGCTATGGCTCTCTTAATTTCCTCATCCAACTAAATGTTGGGTTTGTGTCTCGCTCCTTTTCCGGGGTGACTTGTCACGTGCCTTAGCAAGCTGCAGCTCAGTCTAATTAGATCTATGTACATTCACACTGTTGCACTATCCTCAGTGATTGCTTTCTCAATTTGTTTAGTAGCTATTGCTATTTACCTTTCTAAATAGATATTCCCCTGTGATTGCTCATCTTGTCTCCTTTCCACTTTCATTGCTTTTACAAAACTTAGCTTGATACGTTTGTGATCACTACCCTGACTTCTAGAGCCCCATTGATCTATGCACATTCTCCCGATCGAGCCTATCATACTTCCTACGTGACATCAGTGCATAGTCTATCGTCGACTCCATGCAGCCTTCCTACCTTCCATGTTTTTATCTGCCCTTTACACTTCTCAGTACTGTTGCAAATGATCAAATCATGCCACATATCCATGATCATTTTGCCTGATGGGTCAGTATACCCAACTATATCTTCTATGTGCACATTCATATCTCGTAGTATAATTATCTTGCACTCTCCTCTTAATTCCTCAATGTCATTTGTTACACACTCACCCATTGCCTGGTTTTCCTCTCTGACCTTTGCTCCCGTCCACAAGCACATCAAACCATGCAAGGAGTGTCATCTGCCCGGCTGCTTTCTCTTTTAACCATAAATGTTCCCTGGATCCCTGGTAGACTCTTTGCCAACCCATACTTCTATGTATAAATGCCCCAATTCCACCGCCCTGTTAGCTGCCTTCTATTCTATTGCAATATTCCAAGACATAGGAAGTCCTGTTTTCAAGGTGGTTGCTCCATGTAAAGATGTGTCTCCACAACCCCATATACCATCAGCTCCTTGTGCATAACTGCTCATTTATCTCTTCCCACTTCAACCTATTCCTGCCACCCTGCGTGTTAATATACCATATGTCTTATTTGGCTCGGTCCTTGTGCTAACGCCGATTTTTTCTCCCACGGACCCCATGGCCCCTATAGAAACGTCTATGCGGTGTTGGCCTCATGGCTCTGGGTTTTCCTAAAAAAAAAATCTGTGGCTTGACGACCCATTCTATTACCAGCCCTCCTGCACGTCGCGCCAGTGTAAAGGGGTTGTGCAAAGGGGCGAGCGCCGGGCTCGTACACGCCATGGTTCACCTCCAGGCTCCAGGTCAGTCAGCGGCAGCCAGCGGACAGCCCGAGCAACGCGTTCACCCTGAGACGTTCGTTTTTCGCGGGCAGTTCTGGGGCAGCCCCAAAGCTCCGCCCGTCTCTCGGAACGCTGCCACAAACATGCCACACACCATGGAGGAAGGAGGGAGGTGATTCTCAAATGAAAAGAAGATAAAAGTGAGCCCCGTAACTGTCTCTCAGGGGGAAGACACCTCAACAGTAGCCTAACGAGGAATGGGGGTAAGGAGGGATTAAAAGGATAGGTAGGAATTAAAAGTATAGAGATAGCGAGAGGAGCACGAGGAGAGAGAGGCGCAGGGAAAACCACTTACGGAAGTAAGGAGAAGATAGGGATGATGGACACAGTCGCAGAAGTCCGAAAACGGGGCACCACTCAGCTAGAGCTCATTACGTCGGCGTCAGGAGGTGGCATAGGGCGAGCCAGTCGGCCAGAGCTGTACTGTCGTCGGAGATCGCAGGGCACAACTGGCGGTGGTGGTGGTAGTGGTTAGAAGAGAAAAACAAAGCACCTAATTTCAGCAGCCCGGTCGTGCTTCAAACTGTGGCACGAAATCAGCGAGCGAGTCCGGAGGAAGGAAATGTGCTTGGCACCCACCGATCGAAGCGCATCCAATCCGATCCGTTCGCGTCCTTGGCGCGTGATTTCGTGTGTTGCACTTGTTTCGTGTTGGCTGTTCGAGTAGACATGACATAACAATGCCAGCAGTAATGGAACTCTTCGATGCTGCTTCTTCGCCTGGACGCTGTGGTGTTCAGGAATCTGGTGAGCCGTCCATCAAAGAGCTGCTTCAGCGAGCGTACAGTGCACACGTCAGCGAAACTGAAGGTATGATCATAGAGCTTCTCTGCTATTACTCTCATTACGTCATAGCTGTGCGAAGAGGCCAGTAATTGTCGAGGCACTTCAATCATTCTCATTTGATGAGTGCTCAGACCATGCGGTGCGAGAAGCTGAATTTGTGCCTCACATGTGGAAAGCGCCGGCGCGTGGGTTAGTCGCGTTATGCGTACGTCGAATCAAACATTTGTACCTCACGCCTAACTGAAGATTGCGCCTCCGTACGTGTTTCGACGAACGCTGTGTACATCGGACGTACGCGAAACCGCGAGTCTAAAGATACGTCGGTTGTGCGCGAATCCCAAAAGCTGAAGGTACGTACTGTGCGTCAGAAACACCCGGAACCGCGGGCCTAAACATACGTCTGCTGTCGCGATGTAGTGGGGCGCACCAGTCGCAGGGTGGGTCGTGGCTACCACGTAACAGTCTGCAAAGGACGACAAGGAACGAGCCAGGTGAGCACAGCCGATGAAAACAAAAAAACTTTGAGCATTGCATAGTTGATGAACGGCGTCGCGGTCGGTGGTGCCAGTCGTAGACGTCTGTCAGTCGCCGGGGTGAATGCCTCTTTAAAGGTCTACTGATAAAACTGAAATCGTGATAACTTGTCGGATAGATTTGTCTAGGTCTTAATATCTACGATTTTTCATGTAAACGACGAATTGCCATCTGCGTCACAAGTTTATGCTAGCTGCCACGTCTCTGGCGAGCGTTCTCACCTAGCAGACCTTTTGAACACAAGAAGGGACAGACTCGCGCGTAAGTTTGCCTCTGCAGTGCTTTTTTTTTATTGGGGAAGGGGGGGGGGAAGCACGCTTATAGTTGCAACCTTTGAGAGCTGATCATAGCAACGCACCTAGGGACTTCGCTGCAAAAAAGTGCCCAGCGAATGTGGATGTGGTTTTCTGTGTTCGTGTAGCCAGTTGAGTTTGCATGGAAACCATTCCAGATGCCGCCTCACTCGATGCTCTTTCAAACCGCAACTTCGACCGTCTTTCAAAAACTAACCACCGTGCGTGCGCCCGCTTTTCTTTTTTTAAAATCAAGTGCTATAACCAAGCTTGATTAGGCGACGAAGTTCAACGTCCGATGTATCTTTAGACTCCCTGATCCGCGCTTCCGTGAGTCCACGAGATCAATCGTGCGAACAAATGGGAGAGGGGCTGGACGGGCTGGTTGAATTTGGAGCCACTTGAGTGCAAGCTCGAGAGAAAGCGCGACATCCGACGCATCTTTATACTCTTGGTTGCGGGTATACACGTCATGTGTATCTTTAGGCTCTCTGTTTCACGCATGTCCGACGTACCTTTAGCTTTTAGTATTCGGGTACATTCGATGTACCTTTAGACACAGTGTTCTACGAAAGTGGCTAATAATATCGAACAAAGCAAAATAGGGCTGGACTTTTCGTCTTTTGGTGCAATTATGTTTTCAATTTCTTGGAAACCTTCACGCACACATCTATGTAAGTGCCACTAGCCAGGAAGAAAGAGAAAAGGAAATGAAAAGATTGCTGTGCATGTTAAAGTCGTGCTTTTGGCTCCATCTTGCACTTACGCACTATAAACATAGCGCTGTTAGCTATGTGGTCCTCCCATCTTGTACACTCACCTCATTATGGTGACAGTGTTAATTATTAGGGCAACTTGGCACTTGCTGGATGAGGTGTTTGAGCTGTGTGGCCAGTTAACCCTATAATCGAGCTTGTTCTCAATGTTGCCAGAGCTTTTTTTGTAATGAATCCAATGTATCAAACATCGCTAAAAACAAAATTGACACAGAGGAAGAAAAGACTGGAGCAGCGATTGTTCTTGTCTTTTCTTTCTCTGTCATCCGTCTTGTTTTTTTTTGTGTGCGGCTTGCTATGACGGATCCATACCAACTGGCCCAGCTGCCTACACTTCAGTCTGTAATGGCACTGTTGTGAAATACGCGATACGCGGACTGTATGTACTTCCAAACAATTTTTGTTGGATTATGCATAATACCTGCAACCAAGGTGCCTACATTTTTTTTCCTCTCCTTTTTTTTGTTGCACTTGATGAAACTATTTATCTCTATTCGGATGCTCTTTGTGTGCCCCCATTCATTACGGTTCATGGCATTGTTCAAAGTAGCCTCCTCCTACGCTTGTTGGATCATTTGAATTGGACTCCACAAAAAAAAAAAGCACCTATAGTCGATTACAGCCTAAGAATAAATGTAAGCTCTTCCCACAGCAATCAGCATCCCACTCAGGCATAATTTCCATATATGTCTTACTGAATTGCAGTTGTTTATTTACGTGACGTCAGGCAGATTTCGCGGATTTCAGGCATATCACTTCCCCGTACAGGCTCGAGTTCATTTAGCAAGTTTTGGGTTGAAAAGTTTTACTTCTTTGCAAATTTCATCGAAAATTCCTACTCCTCTTATCTGTAAAACATAACATTTTCACAAGGAACGACGAAGTTTGAATTCATTATATGTGTAGTATTTGCATTACCAGTGGAAATATGCTCACGGTTTGAATGGAAATTGCCAACCATTGCTCTGTTGCACAGATGATTGACCGGCGAGCTGCAGTTCTGGAAGTGGAGCGTGTATTCATTCTTAGGTTGTAAACAACTATGATGGAATGATCTGCAATAGCCAATTTAATTTTACATTCATTTAGTGTTTACAAATTGTGCTGAGGACTGAATTCTGGCATCGACTGTGAGGAAACGGCTCTGTAGGTAATTATTTTGAGCCGAAGTAACAGGAAATAACAGATAGCAAAATGCCCTCCCCCCCCCTCCCCCATGCAACTGTTCATCACTGACATACACAGCAGTGGATTTGCATGGCTTATTTGGCACAAAATGTGGCATAAATTTCTCTCTATATTGTTGTTAATATTTTATTATTCTTGCCCCGCTGCGGTGGTCTAGTGGCTAAGGTACTCGACTGCTGACCCGAAGGTCGCGGGTTTGAATCTTGGCTGTGGCGGCTGCATTTCCGGTAGAGGCGGAAATGTTGTAGGCCCGTGTGCTCAGATTTGGGTGCACGTTAAAGAACCCCAGGTGGTCGAAATTTTTGGAGCCCTCCACTACGGCATCTCTCATAATCATACGGTGGTTTTGGGACGTTAAACCCCTCATATCGATCGATTTTATTATTCTTATTACTTATTTTTGTGTTTGCATGTATTTGAGCCATTCTAGCTCAGTACAAGGTTTTTAAGCAGTATTTACATGATTTTGAGGCATTTAAAATAGGGAAATTTTTTTTCCAAGGTAAACAGCATTAATTAACGCTCTTCTCATGCCAGAGTTAGATAACACATTAAAAAATTGGGAGACCATTTAAGTTCACTTTTTGGAGTTGAATGCAATAGCAATATCCTGTCCTGTCCCTGTTGTGCACTGCAAGCACTTAGTGCATAATCTTTAGTGTTGATGTTACTCGAGAAGTTTAAACTGCCAATTACTACAATGATAAAGCTGAAAGTGGCTTGTGTCCGGCACCTTTCACATACAGCTGCATTCTGTGTAATAGGTAGCATACTTTAAACCATGAGCAATGAGCAATTATGGCCGTGAAATATTTTCAAACTTGCTATGCACCCACTACACACAATAACCTGTGTGCCATTTGTGATGGGTGGCCGTCTTTAAACCAGGAAGTCGTAACGATAATCATATGTTCTGCTCCCGATGGCTATGTATGCTTGTACCACGCAACATTAATGTAATATTAAATTTTTTATTGAGACATTTGTGTGTAGGAGATGTGTGTTTGTAAAGCATGAACATTATTTTCACTGAATTTCCAAGCAGAGGAAGTCTTTTTGATGGTATTTCCAAGCAGATGTGTGGCTGTGTGGTAGAACACCTGCTTGCCATGCAAACAGCCTGGGTTCAATTATTACTCGGACTCTTAAGTTTTATTTATTTATTTTATTTGCATTTTTATTTGTTTTTCTGTAATGTAGAAGATAATTTTTCCCTCACAGCCAAGGATGCTAAAGCTGGAATTTCTGCTAAATGAGCTTTTTAACACTATCACATTAAAATATTTTCCTTTAGTTTTAAACTTTTCGTTGCCCAGCATGTACAAACCAGATCCACGGAACTAATGGACATGATCACAATACGTTGGCACAGTTCCACTGAGTGTGCGTACACTGCATCCTACATGTAGCCTAAATTGGAGAAAACGCTTCCCGAGTTTCTGTAGGGTTATTCACTCTTCCTTGTTTACTGAAGTTGCCACTTGCCCAGCATTAGACTGGCCAGGCGGCTTTTTCTTTAGGTAGTGCGCCACTTAATTACAGGTCTGCACCTAAAACTGACCATCAGTGGCCAGTCCTTGGCAATGCATTGCAATCATTATGTTTTTGTCATTTATAATTATTAATTCAAACACTTCAAAGATTCTGCACATTCTTTGTCAGTCACCACAATTAGTCATGTAACTTTTCAACCAATTTTTCATCTTGTGTTTGTTAAAAATGCAAAGTAATTGATCCTTCAAGTTATACTGACTATTTTAATAGAGAGGAAAATAAACAACCGTAGTTATGTGCTTGCATCATGAGCGTAAATGCTGATTTAATAGTTACAGCAGTGTATGTTTCAAAAGTCGAATGATCTCTGGCTGAGAACCAGATGGGGTTTCTTTTTATGAATTATGTGTATTATTAATAAGTGTGTGGGCTCTATGTCGAATATAGATGACACCTATGTAGACGACATTTTTCTTTTTTTTTGCAAACAGAATAGCTGGTTCGCTCCATTTCTTTCTTTGTACATGTACATGAAAGCACAAGCCTAGATTGCTTTGTACGCTGTCTATTCCCTTGCTGTGATGGCATTACTCTGATGGCATTGGTGTCTGTTGGCATTGCTGTCAATATTACTGCAATGATGGAATGCATCAGAGAAAGCTCTCAACAATATACTGCTTGCTAGTTGATGGTGCAGATGACAAACATATAGGAGTGACAATGGGCAGTATAGTTCTGCTCATGGGTGTATGTTAGATTGACTTTCAACTAGGCAAACAGTGTTACAATCAGTGTATCAGACCATTTTGGGCGTGTTGATATGTCATACTGTAGTTTTCTAGTGCACAAAAAACACACGAACAGATGAAGACAGGACAGACGCTGCTTGCAATGTTCATTCCAGAAAAAGGTAACCGTATAGGCTATATAGGCAACATCGCTTTTCAATCACCATGATCGCACGCACTTGCCAATTCACATATCTTTCTGCAGATAGGCTGACTTCTTACATGAAAGGGCAATTGATGGTTTTGAAACACAGTTATCAACCAGTCTATCAATCATTTCAATTTGGATTATATCGTGGGTCAGCTGATCTTTGCTCGTACCGACTAATGGACACTCATTAAAAATAGGCATGTACATGGTACAGGCATCGTCACTTGCAGTGCTGCTTGAATTACTTCAACTGACAGTGCAAGTGGAAGCGCCTGTCCTGTCTTCATCTGTCCATGTTTTTTCATGCGCTAGAAAACTACGGTGTATTAGAATGAAAGAAAAACCAAAAATGAAAAAAAAAGAAGATATTTTTGATCAAACCATAAATATAACCGAAATATTATTTATTATTTTGTCCCGTAATAAAACCAAATTTTTAAAATCGTCTTTTGGTTCATGCAGAAACTTGACAATCTGAAACAACCAAGGTTATGCAACATGATTGTTCCACACTCAGAGTACAGTACTAGCGCATATCTCAGTCAGGAATTCCAAAGTATAACAATGTGCTGAAAATGTGTGACAGGATATAAAGGTGGCCTAGCTGGTAATTCATAATCGTTCAGCGAACTGGGAGCACTGGGGGGAACACGAAGCAAGGAAGAGGCACACAGCACTAGCGCTTGTTCTGTGTGCCTCTTCTTTGCTCCGTGTTAAGCACATGTTAAATACGCCCCCCCCCCCCCATCCCTGTGGAGCTAGTTTTTTTTCTAGTGTTAAGGTGGCAACCCTATCATTTACTTGCACCGTGTGTGACTGGCAGCTGGTGGCATAGGTGCTACTCGTACATCTTGCGAGCCGCCGTTGCCCCGTGATGCCAGGCTGTGTTGAAAAGTTGTCTCGATACTGCCACTTTGCTATCGAAACTGAAAGTATTTTTTAAGGTGGCAGTATTAAAAATAAATATTTGATGCATTGCCAGGCACCACAGTACTCTTTTAAGGGTCATCAACACCAGTGTTCTTTTTTCTGTTACAATCCGAAAATATTCACTATTCCTGTGAGTACTCTTTTAAGCTTGCCTCGTGAATCGTCTATTTGCAAAAAAATTTTAAAATATATCACGTACGAGTGTAGTTACACGTATTTGTCTAACATTTGAAGTGCTTTTTTTTTTTGCCTTCGCACCAGCGATTGTGCCGAAAGCTACACAGGGATAACAAGTGGCACCTCATCAGCGTGTGGCACGACCTTGAGAACTTTGTTTTCCTAATTTTTTTATTGGTAATTGCAGTTCACTTTCAGTGTGACAGCGAGAACACGTGCAGGTATGATAAAGCATCCTGTGATTGCTCCACAATGCTCAGCTCAGCTGACGGTCGCTGAGTTTGGGTGCATGGTGCAGTAATTTGGTTATATGGCATCATCTAAAGAGAGAACAGGGAGTGATTTCTACCCAACTTCGAAAATTAATTGTAATTTCGAAGCCACTGATTTCGTGATATGTGTCTGGGGTGTTCTTTGGTGCCTCTACTACCGATTGCCAGCATTTTTTGCCAGTGCTAAAAAAAGGGTGTGGTAGGGTCCCTTTAAACTTAAAGCAGATGCTTGATGACAGGCTGATGATTTGATTGATATGTGGGGTCTAACGTCTCAAAACCACCATATGATTATGAGAGACGCCATAGTGGAGGGCTCTGGAAATTTCGACCACCTGGGGTTCTTTTACGTACACCCAAATCTGAGTACACGGGCCTACGACATTTCCGCCTCCATCGGAAATGCAGCCGCCGCAGCCAGGATTTGATCCCGCGACGTGCGGGTCAGCAGGTCGCGGTATCAACCTTAGCCACTAGACCACTGCAGTAGGGCTTGATGACAGACTAATGCAGAAGCTACAGTTATTGCATCTTTTCTCGCTTGGCGAGCGTCCCTTCACTGTAACACCTTTTTGGTGTTACAGTGACATTGCATTGGCATTGCAGGGGGGTAGTATGCAAATAAAAGTGAAGGAGTGTAGTATTTCAATGTCCTTTTTTCAGGCCAAATCAGTCGATCATGTCATACACTACATTGCCTTGTGTTGTGTGCAGGGTGGTGCGTGCACAGTTTTGGATCTGCGGCTGATTTTTATTCTGACTATTTTCAGGCCTACAGAAGCAAGTGTTGTTGCTGACGGCACTAGTCTCCGAAAAAGAAAAAGAGTGAGTGATGACTTGTTTTTTTTCTTGTGTTTTTTCTCTCTATCACACACTGATAATTGAATAACTTGAGCATATTTGTAGCCTTGTCTAGGCGACCACATGAAAAAGGCTCGCATACGTGATGTAGCAAAAGCTTTTTTTTTTTCCTTTAAAGAGGCCCTGCAACACTTTTTCAGCATGGTTATAAAACTCTGCCAATCGGTAGTCGAGGCTCCCGAGAACACTCAAGCCAAATTTTATAGCGTCGCACGTGGCCTGGAGTATACAGTAAATTTTCAAAGTCAGCTAAATATCGCTTTCTGTTTTTTCAGCAAATGATGCTACATACTCAGAAATCACTGTATTAGAGGCCAGTGTCATGCCATTGGTTTATCTGAGCATGGTGTGCTTGGGAGTTACTGTGGCTGCTGTGGGAAGCCATGACCTGGCTATGCAAGCATGGCTGTCGCACTGAAAAGCCGCACATGACATACGTTCGTCCTCCATGCCATCTCTCCTGTTTAGGTTATAGCGTTTTCGTCGAGAGGAGAGAAAAGAGAATGCAATTGCAGCGTGTGACAAACCTTTGTAACTACTCATACTGGACGGATTCTTAAAATTTGTGCGGCGAACTGTTGCAGGGCCCCTTTATTGGGTATGTTTTTATACGTCAAACGTATTTAAAATTTTCTCTGCCACAAAAGTTGATGCACTAAACATTAGAAAAAGCTTAAGGCTAGTCTTCAAGCTTCATAATGTACTGTAAATCACTGTTTTAAGTCTGTCTATTTTTATGCCCTGGGAGGTGGTCGCGGTGAAAGTGGGGCATAATAATGTGACAGACTGACTTGCACCAATGCTAAACTGTCATAGCATGCTGTACTTTCTTTTGTCTTCTTTTATAAGCAAAGTTATCATACATCGCCCTATTTTACAGTGAAAGCTGTTACTGATGTCACAAGGGCTGATTCTAGCGTTGTCATTGTTCACCGTGATAGTGTAACTACTATCACGTGTAATAAGAAAAAAACCTTACTCAGTACAAACTACTCAGCTTGTCAGATTATCTTGCACCAGGCATGCAATGTCGAAGGCTTCTTGCAAAAAAGTCCATGCTTGAAGACAGTGGTGGTGTCAGCACAAGGCCACAATATAATTTTACAAGCTGAGAAGAAGTTATTGTTAACACACGTTCGAAAATGCCGACAGACAATCAAGTAATTGGAAACAAAAACTTTCTTCATAATGCGTCAGCTGAAACACGTTGGTGGGGACTTCGATGTATAGCTTCGCACCAATTTTATTGCAATCCTAATGGAACGCAACTGCAGGAAGTTGCCAGAAGGCAAACTGCACGCACTCAGGCTGCCAGATGATGGCCAGACTAAACCATCGTTCTCAATTTGTCCTCGTACGTACCTACTGCATCAGGAGTGGCTGTCCTAAGCAAAGGATTAAATTTAAATTCCGGCACCTCACCGAACTCGATGAGTGATCTGCGTCGTGGAGCGAGTCATCACACAGCTTTCTCCAGAAGTAAGAGACGAAGTTCGCACACACGCTACCGGTGTTCTGTGAAAGTGGCAGACGCATGATCCTTGTGTCTGGTCTTCACTGACGGAAAAAAAGGTCATAAAGGGCCTCTGGAACAAAACCTCTATTGCCATACTTCTTACGAACTAAAGAAACGCCTTCGTGGAACTCGGAAGTGAGTATGATCAGAAGACGGATTTGCTCTCGGATGGGGATAGTGACGTATGGTTATGAAAAGAGCCCACGACAAGCCTTCAAACAAAACTGCAGAAACTGCTCTGGTAGGTTTTTCAGTTGTACCACATCAGCAGAAGCACCTTTACTATTGCCTCCTGTGCATTCATGGGTCTTCGCATGCCATATGTGGTCTATCAAAAGTAAGCAAACCAGGCAATCTAATATTACTCATCGCTAACTTCAAAAGGTCACCGCTGCACGGACAAACAGATCCATGGAACTGCCATGGGGGCTTTCATTTCTGTTACCACAGGAAAATTGGTCATGGAGGTCATTGACCTGAAGACGCTTGTCGACTTCGTTCCCAAGCTCAAGTTAGCTATGAGGATGGCAGCTTCTACATTGTGAATAAGAATGATGCCCCACGGCTCCTGCATCTTCTCAACTCTATAAAACCTGCCAGTCAGTTTACCACAGACTATGAGTGCAACAGCATCCTTTCTTTCCTCAATGCTCAGGTGAGCCGTATCGAAACTCGCCTTTCATTTTCTGTGCACAGGAAAGCACTCACACCTGATACTACATTAATTTCAATTTGTGGGCGTCTCTCATAATCATATGGGGGTTTTGAAACGTTCAACCCAACATATCAACCAATTTTAATTTGTGCCACCAAGCCTGCCCCAAGCGATTTGTTGTTTCTATCCTTGTGACGGGGGCAACACGCATTTTCTCAAGGGATGATGCAATGAGGAAAGAGTCCCAAACAGTACACTGAGAACTACCGTATTGACGAACGGGTACCCAAAAAAGTTTATTAAGAATGTGGAAGATAGTGTCCTCCATCTCAATAAATACCAAGGCAGGTCGTTTCGAAGGCACACTGGCGTCCCATATGTTCCTGGGGTCAGCAAAGCACTAAGCCACATCTTTTCAAGATATGACCTTCGTGGTGGGCACACGCCGTCCAACAAGCTTAGGAATCGGCTTGTGAACGTGAAGGATCACCTAGACTGGCAGGTGATACCTCGGTGTTTTCTATAAGGTGCCATGTGCACTCTACAGCCGCAGCTACAGCGACGAAACTGCCAACTTCATCAGGAGATTAAAGGAACACCAAAGGGACGTGGGCAACAACGAGAAAGCATCAAATGCCTTGGCCTAGCACGCTGATAATCACGCTCATTTGATCGATTGGAACAATGCCGCTATAATTGCCAAGGAAAAGAATTCAGCCACGAGACTGCTTTGGAATATGTTTTTATCCATACGACTAAGGGCACAATCAATAGAAAAGATGGGAATCAACCTGCCGATTACACCCATTTCATTACGTCACATTTTAGCACAAAAAGTGACTTACGGCTGTTGCCTGCTTAGTGTGAGAAAAGAGTCTGTATGGGTCCCGAAATGTCTCTGTTTTTTCACCCTGACTTTTTCAGTGAACGCATCTACATCATCCAAAGTTAAAATTCGCTACGAAGAATTTTGCAACATAGCAAACCTGTGTTGTTACTGCCTCCCAGTTTCATTGAAATGAATATATTTTTCTTCTGGATTAAAGAAGTAAATTTCTGCCCCAATACTGGTACAGTAAATTTTTAGCAAGCACAAAAAAAGAACATCAAATTTGCATTGTCTTTAAAATAACCCAGTGTCAATGCATCTGATCACAAATTTAGTCTTTTAAAGTTGGAAGCTTAGTTCTGTCTGCCTCGGTGGATTAGTGGCTAGGATGCTTGGCTGCTGACCGAAAGGTTGTGTGTTCGATCCCAAATGCGGCGGTCGCATTTTGATGTAGGTGTAATGGTAGAGGCTCATTTACTGTGCAATGTCAGTGCACATTAGAGAACCCCAGATGGTTGAAATTTTCGGAGTCCATAGTGCACCTACTGACATCAACACTAGCTTGCTGTCAGGCTACGGTACTAATTCTCATGTCCTCAAGTGGCAGTTTGGCTAATTGTGATGATGTCAGGTGCTGAAACTTCCAAGATGCCAGCTTATACATCATCAACACATTTAAAATGGCTGCTTGTGAGTCAACAACGGAGCTACGGTGTGCCGAGACTGTGGAAACGTTGCAATATTGTGTGGGAACCTGTGATGCAAAGCTTGTACGGTGTTGTGACGTCAGGGTATAGTAGGCACCAAAAGTAGCTTCTAAATACATACTGTAATTATCTTTCCAGGGTGCAGTCATGCTTAGCTGTACATTTTTCGGCTCTTTATGGCTTGGTTTTTTTATTAGATGCAAAAGAAGAAAACGAAAAATTTTTATGTCACTGCCCCCTTAAGGTCTATTGTTTGTAAAAGTAGGTCACGGTCTGCTGCTCTGCGCAGCTTTTACCATGTGCCTCTAGTGAGGGCCCGCGTATTCACGGTGAAATGCACCGAGCGTCTCAATCCGATATCTTGCCTTTACTGTATCCTGACTACATACTGTACGGGCACAGGCTGTGTGTCAATACTTCAGCAAACCTTTGGTTTTAAGTACTTTAAAAATTCATTTAAAATCTTACCTTCTTTTGCTTTGTTTTTCACACACAGTTAGTAAGCCCTGCTTTTGGAGGTGAGTGCCTGTGAATGCTTTTCTCATGCTTCCGCTGGCTTCTAGTGTTTAGACTTCAATACTGCTCGTGCATTGATGTTCATTACCACACTGGGTGCTTGCAATCCATTACTTCTCAGCTCTAAGAAGTGTCTTCTCTGAACAGGTTGCGCAATGTTTCCTGCCAGCGTTGTGCTTCTGTGAAGGACACCTTTGAGCGCTACAAGGCCAGCAATCAGCAGATGATCGAGAAGCTGGAGACCAAGATCAGGCTGCTTGGTGAGCCCGATTGTCTACGAGGTCCCTTGAAGGCTCCTTTTCAGATAGGTGGTTTTGTTGTCAGTTGCAGGAGAATGGACACTTGTGCTTCTCTCTTTCAATGTGACCATGTCCCACTGGATAAGAAATCAAAATGCTTTTGCTTGGTGCAGGCCCTGCCAGACTATATGATAATCTTCACAGGTGGTTTTGGAATACTCTAAGATTTCACATACAGCACTAGTGGTTGAGCAGTCTACTTTGAAACTTGTGTGAGCGCCAGTGGTCATGCTGGAATATTCACTCAAGTATAAAAGACTTGTTCATCTGTGGTCACATTACTTACAATCGACTCTGCTTGCCACTGCCACTGTCTTGTGTTGCCACTGTCTTGTTATTTGTTTCTTACTGCCAGCTTGTCTTGTAAGCTATAAGCAGGAGGGGATTGTATCAGAGAAAGTGTTCAACTGTCTGTAAAAACGTTTTGTAACAAATCTGTGAAACAAATGTGAAATTTGGTGTTAAACAATTTTTACAGCATGTAAAATGCAGGAATCAATGAAATTCGGTAAAACATGCACGATAGTGCAAGGTGAAAATATTGGCAAGAAGATCCACAGATCACAGAGAAGTATGCACCATTTAAATCATATAATAATGAGAAAAGAAAAATCACAAGATTATACAATGAGCAGATGTTCATGCAGTGGTTTGCTCAGGCAATAAAAAGAAGGATGCCATCATTTTTGTTACCCAGTGAGAGTTACTGACCTTGCTGGGCACATGATCACTCAATAAGCTGTTCAGTCTTTATCAGTTTGATTGCTGCATTATTGCTCACTGTCATAAAGACATACCCAAATGTGGGGAGGGGAGTTCGGGTTTAGAATGAAGGGTTGAAGTCGCGAAAAGTTGAATTGCTAGAAGGAAACTTGTTACTGTTGCAACAAAGGCAAGTGCCCGTGCCTGAACTTTGACTGCAATGACTTTAATTTTTAAATGACTCCTCATTACTGTAAGTTTCAAATTTCAGTGCGATATACTTTTTATACTTTTAATGTCACAGCACAATTAGTGATGTATGTTTACTGGTATCCTTGGAAAATGTGAGGACTGTGTTATAAACACCACCAAGGTGCGACTTCAACGAAGAAAGAACTTTCCTCTAGGCCTGCGAACTAGCTCAGCTTTCTCTCATTCTTAACTTGAACGTAATCTAGGTTCATTGTAAGCTGCAGTATGACAACTGACAGAAACATAATACTGGAGACGTACTCATTAATTCTTGAAGAGGACTGAGCAGATCATGTCCACATGAGATCAGAGGGAAGAAGTGGCCATACACTGTTGGTCATCTCCGGGGAGTATTCACAAGGCCCTGTTGATATCAGTGAACTGTAGCTCAAGTGGCAAGAATGATGTTGTGGCATGTTAAGTAGAGGGCAATCCTTAGTAAATATGCCAGATACAGTACAAACATGCATTATTATTTCTGCAGCTTCAAGATTTCTAAATAACTTGAATGATTCTTTGTTTTTTCATTAGTGAGGGTGCTGACATCCACATAGTAAATCGCATCATGCTGTGCTTAAGGGGCATTATCAGTAGAAGAGTTTAGAGTGCAGTTTTAGTGATCAGTACTTATGATTTCCTGTCTAAGGGATTGATCACAAGAACACTCAAACTTCGTATTTAAAGGTTTCACTTCAGACAATGTGCGGTCTTTCTCGGTTAACACTTGGTAAGTGATATACTGCTTAAACTGTGGAAAAAACACAATGTAGTCGCTTTTGTCTTCTTTGTTCAGAAGTGGCAATTATGGTAGCTCTTCAGGGTTAGCCGTTTGTGCATCCTTTTTATAATTATACTTGTTCTAATAAGCTGCTAAAAACAGTATCCAATGTCGCATGCACGCGGCAGCCATCTGTGGAGTCGGCTTTGCCTGGCCAAACAGGCCAGCTAGCAGAAGGTGATCGAAATAGATCGTAAATTCACGCCCGTAATGACTCGATGATCGCACTTTACCCCAAACACAACCGCCAACGCCTCCTTCAGGGTTCCCTCTGGCTTTCGAAAAAAGGTTGCCAAACAACGAGCACAAAGTTGCCATCTTTCTTTAAATTTTGCCAAAAAAGTCGCCACTGTATGGCGACTGCCTACTAACATGTGTGGCGTGCCTATTAACAAAGATTCCTAATTATATATAGCCCCATGGACATCAATAACATCTGTAGCCCCTTAATTATATTGATGTTTGTAATGCCAGTTGCATTACCCGCTTCATCATGGTAGCACCCAGCATTATCAGCGTCCCTGCATGCTAGCGCCTCATAAGAGAAGTTTGCGATGGTTTTAGTTAGCGTGAATGCAGGATAAAGCAGATGCTATAACAAGAGAGGAATGGCATGCGTAGCGTTCTTGCAAATTTCGAGAATTTAATTGAGTGGAATCACGTGTTTGATAATTGAACAGCTTTACTACACAACAAAGGTAAGAAATTCGAAAGTAGCTCGTAACCGTAGCAATGCACGCACCATGTCTGTGCTGTCATGCGTACGCTAAATACCGAATTCACTCGCGTAATGAACGCACTCGCATAATAAATGCACCCCAACTTCAGTCATAAAAATTAGGATTTTTTTTTCTGCATAATAAGTGCACCCCCTACATTTATCCGCTGCAGTCCTGCCAGCCGACACCTGGCACTTCCTCACCGGGTGGGTCTCTTTCATTTTTTAATCATTTTGCCGACCCCCCTCGGCCACCGCGGCTTGCTCTCCCTCACCTTCGCCCGTTGCCGCATGCTGTATTGTTTATCTTTCTATCTGTGTGTGACACATCCCCATACTTATCTGTGTGCCACAGCGGCGTTCATGAACGGTGCAAGTGTAGAGGCAATGCAGCTGATGAGCACACGGCGAGCGAAGGTGACGAAGGTCCCCGCTGTGGCGCACAGCCAGATAAGACGGGGGATGTGCTGCGCTCAGATAGAAAAAAAAAAAAAAAAAAAACGGCACGGGGCAACATGCAAAGCGGAAGATGGGGCGTAATTTTGGCTTGTTGTGTGCTCAAAACTGCCCGCGCCAACCAATCGACGGTCGCTTCGTGCCAATACGAAAAAGCCCAACCGCGTGCACATGATTTTCGAGCTATGACGACATGAATTGCTGTCGTGAAGCGTGATTCGTCGCTATGGCAGGTTTCTGGAAAACCAGAAAAAATCGCTTGTCGTCCAGAAAAGATCGTGGCGATTTCCGCAACATGGTAGCACCCCGATTTTCGCTTCGCTTGTTATCCGCGCATAGAGGAACTTCTCATATGTAGAAGCGAGGCGGTGGTCGTATGTTGTTGTTAATCTTGCTATCAACGGTTTGTTTTGATGCTTCGGGGTAGCTTGCTACAATATTGGTTACATGCTACAATGTTAATGGTGTCGTCACGGTCGTCCTGCGAGGTTGCCGCGAAGTTGGCAAAGTGGGCCGTAGATTCGTAGTGCACGCTTTTCGGCGCCCCTCGAAATCACAGCAGATACCACTGTTGCGGTTAAACGATTGCGAGAAAAGATAGCCGCAAAACACTTTTATGGCGTGCGTGGGCGGCCCGGAGACAGCTTGCAGAAGATAGCGCCATCATGCAACCACCGAAGATGAGTAAAGTGCAACAATGAAGCTGTTCTTAAACAGTGTATGCATATGTAAGTTGCGAAACGACAAACGACCTAACTTTTTTTTGCATTACCGCATTTTTTGCTCCTCCCACAAAAGATCTCATGAAATTTACCCCGCGTAATAAACGCACCCCCCAACTTAGCTCCAATTTTTCGAGAAAAGAAGTGCGTTCATTACGCGAGTAAATACTGTATTCAGATCAACGCAGTCTCTGAAGGCTGTCCAAGAAAGCAGACTTCTTTGCCAGCCTGAAAAGAATCTCAATAAAAATATTTAAACTCTACATAAAAAATCAGGGGGCACTACAGCAGGGAAGAAGTCGACAAGCTATTTACAACAGTTGGGGCTGTGGTTGGGGCTAACCGTCACCTAGGCATTTCAGAAGCGAGACATTTGAAGAAGCTTAAATATCTTGAAACACCTAAGCACACACCACCACCTCGGGGCACGTGAAAAGTCTGCTGGCCTAAGTTGTGCTTTAAGGCTGCTGGTGGATGCACCAGCGTGCCAGTAGCTCCAGAATCTTGGTGAATTGGGGAGATAGACACGAGGAACAGGATAGACATACTAAATTACATGTAAAGTGCACCTCCTACTGGTGAGTCTAAAACTACAAAAAATAGAAAAATGTCGCCCGTTCGTTGTGAAGACATTGAGAATAGAATGCATAACTCAGTTGAGACCTAAGCCGAAAATCGCCAAACAATCGCCATGTCGGCAATCATGATTTTGAGTCACCACGGGCCTCTCGAATTTGCCGATTCGGCGAAAAGTAGCCACTAGTGGCTACCCTGGCCTCTTTCCCGATATGCGCATAGCCTTTCTTGATGCAGCTTTGCGTGCGGGATGCTTATGCTATCGGCTTCTCTTGGCCGCAAATAATATGAAATAAAACTGCTCCAACCCCATAAGGAGATGCATCGCAAAAGAGACCTAGCAGTTTTGCAGGTTGTAAATGGATAGTGCTGAATCCTGAGTGAGTTTTTTCTTGCTTATCTAAAATACCTGTTCAATCTTCATGGACCACGCCCAATGTATCTCTTTTTGAAGCAGTTGGTATAACGGCATACTTTCAGATGGCATGTTGAGCATGAACTGTGCATGAATTGTCAACATGCTAAAATAGGCCTTCAGTCTCATGCAATTTTTTTGGGCAGTTTCTCTTGCTTTCATTTTTCAAAGCAAGAGTGCCTGCCTGTTTTGTCAATGATGTGGCCTAGACATCTTACGGACTTCACAAAGTTTTGCACTTCTCGTGCCTTACTTTGATGCCGTGCTTCTCGAAGCACTGCAGGACTGCTTGTAGTCCGCTCCTGTGATGAGCACATTGTCAAGGTAGCAAACTAGTACTCC